CCCGCCGCGGCCGGTTGGGTCCCGGGGGTGGCCTTACCCCTGGGAGGGGGGGGCGCTGCTCCTCCCACCCACTGGGGGGCGCTGTTGGCTCACGGCACTGAGGGGGGCGTGGCCTCGTGCTGACCACGCCCCTCCCGGCGCCGTCCCGGCCCGCGGTGGGCGTGGCGCGGGAGGCGGAAGCGGAGCCCGTGCGGAGCGTGGGGGGAACCGAGCCCCGGGGGGAGCGGAGCGGGGCCGGGCCGGGCCGGGGGGTCTCACCCCGCTGCACCCGCAGGATGTGCGCGGGCTCGGCGCTGCGGGAGGAGTACCGGCGCTGCCTGGAGCGGGAGTTCCGCCGGGGCCGCGCCGGGGCCTGCTCCGACCCTTCCTTGGCGGAGAGGCTGCGGCAGCGGCTGGAGCTGGAGCCGGCGCTGCTGGGGGCCCTGCAGGAGGACGGCCCGGCCCTGCTGGCTAGCGGGCTGCGGGGCCGTTCGGACCTGGGGCCGGCGCTGCAGGGCCTGGCCGTCGCCTTCCAGCTGCTGGAGCTGGCCGCCGTCAACCTCTACCTCTTCCCCTGGCGCAGGGAGTTCGGCACCCTCCAGGTGAGCACCCACGCCCCGGGACACACCGGGGGGTGCGACGGAACTCACTGGGGCAGGGGGGTCTCCAACCGTGCTCCCTCCACCCCCTATTCTCATTGCAGACCTTCTCCGGCGCCTATGTGCACTGGCTGCGCCCGGCGCTCCCCGAAGCCGACCTGCTGCGGAGCTTTGGCCGGCTGGGCTACGAACGGCGTGACCCGCACCGCCTGACCGTCTCCCGGCTGCCCCCGGGGCCTGAGCTGGTGGCCACCGCCTGTGGCTTCTTCGCCTGCCGGTTGGAGTGCGAGATCCTGGGGGAGGTGGTGAGGAGGCTGCAGCCCCGCCATCTACATCCCGAGGAGCTGCTGGAGGCACGGGGGCTGGCTGGGAACGTGGAGGCCTGCGTGGAGATGCTGCGGCACCGAGAGGCGGCTGGCGGTGGCAACAACGATGGCATGGATCTCTACCAGGAGATGCCAGCTGGCCCAGAGGACACGAGGCGAGAGGACATAGCCGCCCCAGTGCTTTGGAGGGACCCTGGTAGCCCACAGGGTGCTCAGGATGTGCCCAGAGGGGGCTGGGACAGCTGCAGAGACAGCAGGAGCGGGCAGGAGCCGGTGCCCCCCACAAGCAACCCCAACCTGGACACTTCCTCCTCCTCTCGCCTCTTCCTGGAGGAGGAGCTCGGTGGGGCCAGCAGCTCACTCTCTGCTTTAGCCTTGGGGAGCAGAAGACCCCAGGTGCTGGGGGAACCCCAAGATTTGCCCCCCACCGCCCCCCAGGAAGCCCCCGAGCTGCCCTGCTACCAGCTGCACTCTTGCCTGCGCCGAGGGGGGCTGCCCTCCTACTGCTGCACGACCTGCCAGCAGCTCCACGCCGGCGCCTGCGCGGCCGGGCAGGCCTGCCGCAGCCACCACCGCGGGCAGGAGCTGCGCAGCGAGAGGCAGCAGCGGCTCTGGCTGCAGCGGACAGAGGTGGACATGCTGCTGGCCGACGGCTCCAGCCCCAGGTCCTAGCACCCCTGAGGGTTCTGCTGCTGGCTGCACCTCTGCCCCTGGGGCTGGAAGGGAAGGGGGACAGCCACAGCCAGCCCCCGAAGGACACTGAACTCGCCCCGCCGGGGGGCAGTGGGACATGTGCCACGCACTTGCTTCTCCACCGGGGTGGTAGGAGCTTGTTGGGCTCCTCCTGCTCCGGCCCCAGCGTTCCTGCTGTAAACAGCTTGGTGCATCTCAGTAAAGCGCGGCTGCCTGGCAGTGTGGTGGTCTGCTCCTGCCATGGTGGGGAGATGGGGCGGGGGGAGCAGTGGATTAAGTGTGCCCACTCCTGGGGAAAGGACAGGGCCTGCAGTGCCATCTGATGCCACACACCTCCCAGGAGAGGGGAGCTGGGCTCTGCTAAAGGCCAGTTTTGGGAGGCAGAGCCCAGGGGTGTCCTTGGCCCTGGAGCTGGATGTGTGGCACAAGGGGAAGAAAGCAGGGCTGTAGCTTCTCCCAGCCCAGCTGGAGCCAAGGGATGAGGCAATTCACTCCCCGCTGCTGCTGCTGGCAGATGATTTTATTGACAACAAAGTCGGGGTTACCCCACACAGCCAGCACCCTCCAAGAGTTGTCCCCCCTAAGACACGGCTGGTTGTGCCAGCACCCCAGCTTCTCCTGGGGGATCCCATCTCTCCTCTCTCCTGCCCCTGGTGCTGCCCCCACCCAGCCCCACACTGGAGCCTGCCCAGCTCTGGGGCAGAAGATGTGTACGGGGGGGCAGTTGTAGCGCTCCCCTGCTACAGCCGGGACATCCCCACACCGGTATGGGGAGGGGAAGTAAATTTGGGAGCCATGGCAGGAGGGGATGGAGCCCGGGGCGCTGGTACTGTTCTGTAAGAGCCAGCCTAGCTGGCTGCGTCGTGCCTCCTCCCCTGGGCCGGGGCTCAGGGCTTGCTGCGCTTCGCCTGGCTCTCCGTCCCTGCGCTGCTGGTGGCCGCCCGCTTGTTGCGGTGGTGGGGGAAGGTGGGCATGAGCTCCGGCTCGCAGGCTGTGGGGCAGAGAGGGGGGGGTCAGTGGGCACCCAGAACACCCCAAGCCCTGCCCCATAGGGGGTTTACTTACGCAGGGGCTTCTCCTTGAAGTAGGAGCTTTCCAGGCAGTCTTTTGCCGTCGCCCTGCAGGGATAAGGGGATGTAGCAAGCATCTCCCCAATGGCACTGACGTGTCCCCAGCTATGGGGACAGCCCTGTCACGGGGGCAGCGTGACACAGGCAGCCCCATCTGCAGGCAGGTTTCCTCCTCCCCTGCCCACCCCGTGACCTGCCCACGCAGAGCTGCCAAAGGCTCTTACCGCTTCTTGGGATCGTACATGAAGAGGAAGTTGAGCAGCCGCAGACCAGCCTCTGACAGCCAGGGGAACTTGTGCTTGAGGTTGTTGTAGGGCTGCTTCCGCAGGGTGTACTGACTCACCAGGGGCAGCTTGGAGAAACCCTGAGGGGGGCAGAGCGTGAGGTGGGGGCAGGGAGAGCAGGCGGAGCAGGCAGCAAGGGAAGGACTGCTCTCACCGGCCAGATGTTTTCGTTGGGTGTCCCCAGGAGCTGCACAATAAGGTCTATCTGGTGGATCTCAGAGGTGCCAGGCAGCAGTGGCTTGTGGGCCAGCAGCTCGGCGAGGATGCAGCCCATGGCCCTGCGGAGCAGACAATTTCAAGGGTCAGCACGGCAGAAGAAACCCCTCCATTGACCCCCACTGCGTTTGTAGCCCCCCAGACTGGCCAGCCTCAGCCCCTTCCTGCCCTCCCCTTACCACATGTCGATGCTGGTGGTCTGGGTTGTCATCCCCAGCAGCAGCTCGGGCGCTCGGTACCTGTGCAGGGGACAGCACTGTCTCAAGGGGTCTGTGGTGAAACCAGCGCTAAGGAAGCCCCCGCCACACTGCAAGGACTTGCCTGCATCACCCCGAGCCAGCACAGCCCCCCACACCGACCGCTCACCACAGCGTGACGACTTTGGGGGTCATTGGCTTCGGTGGCATCCCGTAAGAGCGTGCCAGTCCAAAATCAGCTGCAATAGAGACTCGAGATCAGGAGAGAGGAAAGCTCCTCGCTGCAACCGTATCACAGTGTGAAGGGAGAGCTGTGGGCACATCAAGGGTGGCTGCCAGGAGCTCACCTATCTTCACGCAGCCTTTGTCAGTCATGAGCAGGTTGGACACCTTCAGGTCCCTGCCGAGGAACAGAGGCTGGTCAGCACCGTCCTTCAGGCAATGGCTCTTCCTGTACCTGTGCTCCCCCCCAGCTGCAGAGCCCCAGAGCTGAGCAACAACAAGGAGAAGCTAATCCCATCATTCAGTGGCCTCCCAAAATCGGTGGCCTGCCCAGAGCTACTCCACACCGTGCTCCTTGCTCGCAGCACGTGGGCGTGGGAGGTGAAGAATAACACCACAGTTCACAGATCAGCAATCTCCCTCCCATCAGCCCCTTCTCCCTGCCTCCATCCTGCTGCTCCCACCTGTGGATGATGTACTTCTCATGAAGGTACTGCAGGCCTTTGAGGACTTGCAAGATGATACACTTCACCTGGAGACAGAGAACAGGAACACCCACCTCTGTGAGAGCAGCACCAGCCAGGCAAACCCCCCAGAGGTTAAACCCACTCAGTGCATCAGTCCCCGTATCCTCCCAGAGCAGCTCTCAGGCCATCTGGTGGGCACATTTCTTCCCAGCTCTGTTTCTGTGCCAGTTTGCTCCAGCCCAAAACCCTGCCTTGAAAATCCCTGGAGTGTTCTCCAAGAGCCAGCTAAGCCAGACTCCCCACGCGGCCCAGGAACACAAGCTCAACCCATGCTCCCCTGGCCCTGGTGAAGCCCAAGACAAGGTCACAGGGTCTGAGGAGTCCATGCTGGTGACCAGCATGTTCTGGCTGGCATGGCAGCACCCTGGCAGGGGTGACATACCTAAAGCTAAGCCCAGTTTTTACCTGAGCCTCTGAAAAAGGTGTCTGCATGTTCTCGAGAAGGCTAGCTAGGTCCTGCTCGCAGTAGCCCATCACCAGGAAAATACTGTTGTGGACAAGACACAGTCAGGAGCTTCCCCTGGGACACCTCTCTGGTGTCCCAGCACTCACAGCACAGGTCTATGCCATGAGAGACAGCTCAGGGAACTGAGAAGGGTTGGAAAGGCAGAGAGTGTAGGGGGAGAGGATGGAAGGGAGACTCTCACCTCTCCAGATGGTTCCCTACAACCACATCCTTCAGCTCCACGATATTGGGGTGCCGAAGCTCCAGGAGCAGGGTGATCTCCCGCAGGCTGCTGATGGGCATTCCTGCAGAAAGCAACAGCTACGCTGCAGGACTGCCTCGAGCAGGGGGCAGGGATGCTCCTGCCCACCATAGGAATCGCCCCTGTGCCTCCATTACCATCTTTCTCATTGTCCATCCGCACCTTCTTCAATGCTACAGTCTCATCTGTCACTGTGTCCCGGGCCCGGTCTGAAAGAGCAGCACAGGGCACACAGTCAGCCCCAGGTGACAAACACTGGTTTTATCGTGAGCCAGGAGGATCCCCACGCTAATGAGCCTCCTCTCAGCCTCAGTCCACGCCATGGCACCCCCCACCCCAACATGGTCCCACTGCCAGGATGTGGACAGATGGGCTGCAGCCCCTCCTTCCACCCAGGAACTGGTTCTGACCCAGGCTCGGAGAAAACAGCCAGTGCAGCACTTACACACTATGCCGTAGGTGCCCTCTCCAATCCGATTCAGCTTCTCAAACTCCTTCACGCTCCTGCATCTTCCCAGCTGGAACCAAAGAGCCACATCAGAGGCAAGCACTAGCTCTGGGGCAGCCCCCAGTGGTTTCTCACCAACCTTCCTAGGGACACAGAACCTCGATAGCAGACTAACACCTTAAGCTACACCTCTCCCTCCCACCAGGCAGACTGCGGTGCTGCTCCAGTGCTTTGGGAGCAAGACAGTGTTTCATAACACTGCAAGAACATCAAGTCAGCCAGCCACTGGGACAGAGACAGCGCCCTGGGCCCCCCCAGCCCCGTAACCCTGTGCCAGCACACCCCCCCCACCGAGGAACCTCCCTATCCTCCGCACAAGCTGCTCCCAGCCAGCGGGCAGGGTCCGCAGGCACCGCACGCTGCCCAGCTCCCTCCCTGCGGCCTGCGGGAAGCCTGCGGCCCAGGCTAGGATAGCCCCCGGGCCTACCCACAACCCAGAGACCCCCGGGCACTAGGACCCTCTTCTCCCTCCCGGGTACCTTGGGGAGCCCAGGGACCCCGCCCCGCTCACCCACACAACCCCGGCCCCTCACCCGGTCAGCCGCCGGCACTTCGAAGAACCCCTCGCCCCGGAGCCGCCGCAGCCGCAGCGGCTCCAGCTCCCCCTCAGCAGAGCCACCCTCCGCCATATCTGCCTGACGTATGCGCCGTGACGTCACGGACTCACGCATGCGCCGCACCGCCGCCGGGAGGGGGCCGCTGGCCTGTACGCATGCGCAGTGCCATCCCTCCCCGCCGCAGACCACGCCCCCCCGCGCTGGACCCTGGCAACGGTTGCTAGGCTCGGCGGAGGGAGGAGCCTGTCGCCCCGCCCCCTTTTTTCGCTCCGCCCCCTTCCCCGCTGTGGCCCCGCCGCTTCGCAACGGACACCACCACCCCCCTCCACGTGACCTTCCCTGCCCGGGCGGTGCTCTCGCGAGAATCGGCGAGAGCGCACCCCGGAAGCGGCGGCGGTAGAACCCGGAAGCGGCGACGGGGCAGGATGGACGGTAAGATCGGGCGGGTGAGGAAGGGGGCCGCGCTGTCCCGGGCTTGGCGGAGAGGGGTCGTTCCCGATGGTGGGGCTTGGGGGCACACCGAGAGTGGGGATACGTAGGGGCTGGGGGCCGGGGTCGGGGTTGAGGCCTAGTCCTGCCCCGCCCCGCCCCCCGTATTGTCCCTAGCGCGCCGTCCCTGAGGCCGTGCTTTTCTTCTCTTCCAGACACGCTCTTCCAGCTGAAGGTGAGGGTGGCGGCGGGTCCTCTGTCTCCTCTCTCTCACGTATCTCCGCTCCTGCGGCCCGTCCCGGAGGGCAGGCGATGGCGTCCACCTCTCCGGGAGGAGCCCGGGGACCGTTCCGCGCGCTGAGTCGCGCCTCGTCGGGGCAGGAGGCCCAAACCTGCGGAGATCCGCCTTCCAGGAGGCGCGGGGGGTGCTGCTGCTGCTCTCCCCTTCCCGGCCCCCGGAGCCCCGCCGATGCCGGCGGTTGCGGGAAGAGGGAGCCCTTTAGCCGGGTTTGTTCTCCCGGGCCGCCGTTCCTGGGCTGTTTCTGGCACTTCCCTTCTCAGAAGCAAGGAAAATGGACTTCCTGGTTTGCCGGTGTGCTCTGGGAGGCTCCGGTCCTCGGGGAATTCCGTCTCCCCGGCTCCCTCCCGCGGACGGAGGGGTTAGGGCAGCCGTGGCCGGCGTCGCTGGGTGGGGGGAGGCAGCTGGGGGCTTTGCTTGTCCTGGGCCCTGATTCTGTACTGCCCTATCCCGGCACTAACTTGTTGCTTTCTCTGCAGTTCACAGCAAAGCAGCTGGAGAAACTTGCCAAAAAAGCTGAAAAAGACTCCAAGGCCGAGCAAGCCAAAGTCAAAAAGGTGTGTGGGTGTGAACTCGCCCTGTGCTGGGCAGCTGTGGATCCTTCCTTCTGCTGTGTTGCACCAAGGGACTGGGGAAAGGGGGAGGTTCCCCTCCCCAGGTCTCACTGCATGTGCCAGCTCAGCCTCCAAGTGTTTTGAGTCACAACCTCAGTTCTTGAATCTGGTGGATGTGGTTCATCCCTGCAATGCTGAGAGGGATTTAATTCCTGTTCAGGGACACGCTTAGCATTTTGAGGGTCCCAGGCGAGCTATTTCCTGATGGAAACCTGTCAGAAACAGAGCATGCTTGTTCATAAATCTGTAGTGGATTCTCTGTGCAAGCGGTTGCCCTTTGCTTTTCCAGGCGCTTCAGCAGAAGAACGTGGAGTGTGCTCGTGTCTATGCAGAGAATGCCATCCGTAAGAAGAACGAGGGGCTTAACTGGCTCCGCATGTCTTCCCGCGTGGATGCGGTGGCCTCCAAGGTCCAGACAGCAGTGACAATGAAGGGGGTAAGAGCCTCTGTGTGTGTGTGAGGGGGGCTTTGAGACCAGTCTATGCTCTGCAGAGAGTGAATGTTGGCTATTCCTCTCATGCTACCTCAAACCACCTTGGACTTTCCTGTCCTCAGCAAGAATCTCCCCAAGCTTTGTAGTTAGCTCAGACCCCCTTGCTCTGGTGTAGCCTGTGCAGAGCCCATCTGGGATGGCCTCCCAGTGGGGCTGCTTCACTGGGGACTCGGGTTAAATCCTTAATCCATGGCTGCAGAGAGGCAGAGGGTCATGCCTGGAGCCTCTTGCCTCATGGCGTGTATGAGGGTAGTGGGCTGGGACCCATCCTGCCAGGAGCACTGCCCAAGGTCTTCAGTGGCTGGAGAAACCTGCAGCTAGGCTGAACCTATGTAGAGGTGGCTGCAGCATCTGGTGGGCAGGCAGAGCCTGTCCTGCTTCGTGACACTGCTGTGATCATCAGAAATTCTGGCTTCTCTCTTGCTGGCCTGGGTTTTACCCTCAGCAGTGATGTACCTTGCTTTTGGAGAGCATTGGTGAAGCAATCTCCTCTTGCAGGTGACGAAAAACATGGCCCAGGTGACCAAGGCCTTGGACAAGGCTCTGAGCTCCATGGACCTGCAGAAGGTGTCTGCGGTGATGGATAAATTTGAGCAGCAGGTTCAGAATTTGGATGTTCATACGTCGGTAAGTGCTGGTGGTCTCTGGTGAGTCTGGGAGGGCTGGGAGCTGCTGGGTTCAGCAGGGTGGGCTTGTGTTTGTGAACTGTAACGTACTCAGAAGGGGTCTGGGGTAAAACCAGGCTTTGCGACCCTTCGCCGTGGCCCTGCTCTGGCTAAGGGGGCTGGTGGCTTTGGCTGTGGGGCAGGCTGACAGGCTGTCTCTGTCACAGGTCATGGAGGACTCCATGAGCTCCGCTACCACGCTGACCACACCGCAGGAGCAGGTGGACAGCCTCATCGTCCAGATCGCAGAGGAGAACGGCCTGGAGATCATGGACCAGCTCAACCAGCTCCCCGAGGGGGCTTCAGCCGTCGGGGAGAGCTCGGTCCGCAGCCAGGAAGACCAGCTGTCACGGAGGTTTGTTCTCTCCTGGGTCCTTTGCCTTGTCTCGAGGCAGTTTGAATCCTTCCCAGGGATCCTTCACCAGTATGAAGGGGTTAACCCACCACAGCCAAGTGGGTGCTGAGCCCTCTTTCTGATGCTCAGGCAAGCCAGAGCCTGGCAGCCCCCGTGGTACCCTGCGCAGGCAGGCGAGGTGGCTGTTCAGGGCTTCGGGCCTGGGGACGGGGGTGGCTTCTGGCACTCTGCAGCGAGCTCTTGTCAAGGAGGTGCAGAACAGTCTCCCCCTGCTCCGCGCTCGCCCTCACGCAGCTGCTGCTGCTCCGGGAACGCTTGGCGCTGACCTTCAAACAGCTCCGGGAACAGGCTGTTTCCCTGGAACTGCCCCAGGAGAAGCTGATGAGCTTCCTCTCCCCAGTCCCTCCCTGCTGCTCTCCCATGAAACTGCTACTGGGGTCCAGCTGGGGACAGCCCTGAGGCTGCGGTGTGCTGCCGTGGGAGCTGGAGGTGACCCTGGGAGAGGGACCAGGCAGGGGTGAGACACCCAGAAGAGAAGCCAGGAACCCCTCCTGCGCTGATGACAGATATTCCATGTTAACCCCAGGCAGCCGTGGCCGCGTGCTCCAGGGCAGGATTTCATAGAATCATAGAATTGCCCAGGCCGGAAGGGACCTCCAAAGGCCATCTAGTCCGACCCCCCCGCAGTCAGCAGGGACACCCCCAACTAGACCAGGTTGCCCAGGGCCTCGTCGAGCCTCTCCTTGAATATCTCCAGGGATGGGGCCTCAACCACCTCCCTGGGCAACCTGTTCCAGTGCTCCACCACCCTCACAGTGAAGAACCCTCTCCTAATCTCCAATCTAAATCTGTTCCCCTCCAGCTTGAAGCCATTTCCCCTCGTCCTGTCACTGCAGGCCTTTCTAAACAGGCTCTCCCCAGCCTTCCTGTAGGCTCCCTTCAGGTTCTGGAAGGCTGCTATTAGGTCTCCCCGGAGCCTCCTCCAGGCTGAACAACCCCAGCTCCCTCAGCCTGTCCTCGTAGCAGAGGTGCTCCATCCCCCTGATCATCCTTGTGGCCCTCCTCTGGACCTGCTCCATCAGGTCCATGTCCTCCTTATATTGAGGGCTCCAGACCTACACACAATACTCCAGGTGAGGTCTCACCAGAGCAGAGTAAAGTGGCAGAATCACCTCTCTGGACCTGCTGATTTCTTGTGTTTCTGCCGCAGGAGGGAAGTTTCTGGGCAGAGATGTTCCCAGCACACACGGGCTGAGGGGTTCTTCTGACTCACGGCCATTTCCTGCTGCTCTCACGCCTGTTCCCTCTCCTGCTCTCCCTTCCAGGTTGGCTGCCTTGCGGAATTAAAGGTCTCCTGTGGCCCCTGCGGACTGCTGCCCTGCACCGGTGGTACGGCGTGTGGGGTGGAGGGGCCCGGGACTCCTTCCCCACCTCTGCTACGTGTCCTTGCTGTGACCCACCGGCCAGGCGGAGTCGGTCGTCCCCTCCTCCAGCAGCACGTCCCCAGCCCTGCCTGCCTGCCTTTAGACTCTTCTTTTGGGGTTTGACAGTGACTTTTCCCAGAGCAGGCGGTGGTCCTGGCAGGGGGTTTCTGAGCAGCGACGGCCTCTCTCTGGGCTCGAGGAACGCTTTGCTGGGTCTGATTTCAGGGTGTTTTTCATTTGAGGGTTGCTGCTGGTTTCTGGCAGTGTCCCACGATGCAACATCCCGCTCCTAATTTAACACTAAAGGAATCCTGGAGGTGGGTGGCTGTATCTTCTGGGGTGCTGCTCGCCTGACTCTCCTCCATGCGTAGCACACTCTAGTGGCCTGTTTCAGACGGGGTGTCCGAGCTGCAGGCTGTGTTTTTCCCCAGGGCCCGCAGCAAGGAGCTGTTTACAAGGAGCAGGGAGATTCCCCACAGGGCTGCCTTCCTCTTGCAGCAGTTTGGGAAGGGTTATTTTCCCAGCTGTGGTGTTTCTGGGAAGGTTAGTGCCTTGCAGGAAAGGGAGGTGACGCCGTGGCATCTCTTCCCTCGCAGTGACCTTCCTGAGCCATAGCTGGGTTCCCTATTTGTAGACTTCACCTTGCCCAATCGCTAGCTCCTTGTCCTGCCGGGCCAAACCTCCCTGGAGCTCTGTAACACAAAGTGACCTTTGAAATGCTCGTCCTGCCCGTGTGTGCGTGCATGTAAATCCACGCATTCCACATCTCCAGCTGCTGCGGTCTGGAAATGGTTATCCAGGCCCTGACCTCCCATGTGGAACCAGTCACAGCCTGATGTCCAGCAGCTGGGAGTGGATCGCAGCAGCTTCCACCCCCAGGCTTGCAGCTGCGGTGGCCACAGCCTCGTCCCTAAATGTCCCCCAGCCGGATGGGTGTGACAGTAAATGCTAAACCATCCTGAGAGCATGTCTGCCTGCGCTGGCTGTGGCTCGTCCCCTGGATATCTGCTGCCATTTCCTCTACAATCTTCCCATCTTGCTGCATCTGCTCTGTGCTGGAGCGTGGTACTGAGCTGGATGAGCGGGGGCTGCTTCTAGGGCACTGCCACGTCCCTTCTCCCCACTGCTTGTGGGGCAGCGTGGTTGCTTATCCCTGGGAGCCTTCCCCTGGGGCTGAAGTTTTCCATCCCCCTTCTCCATGGCTCCCAGGCACTGCTGAGCTGCTGGATCGGTGGGAAGCTCACTGGGAAGGAAATGGAGTTTCCTTTGGCTTTCAGGAGGAGGAGCTTTAACCTTCTCACTGCAGGCTGTCTGGTCCCACTGCAGTGGGGCAGCTCTGGTTCATCACTTTTAAAGAGAGTTTTAATGCATGCACAGCTGCTGCTCTGGGCTGTGCCGAGAGGAAGGAAGGGCAGCGTGGGGCAGAGGGGGAGGCAGCTTCTTCCCCCCCCACCCCCCCCCAGCCCAGAGCTGGCTGCTCTCCCAGGCTGCCTGTGTGGACATAGGGCAGGACTCGCTGTGGGCCAGGGGCCATCTCCCCAGCACTTGCAACACAAACACTTTTCACTGTCTTGATTATTTTTTCTGAGTTCAGTGGCCTTGGCAGTGTGTGTCTAGTGACCGTCAGAGCCTTCTCCCCCGATGTCTGCTGTGGTGGGGACATGGGGTGGTGACCCAGGAGGATGAGGTGGCTTTGGGCTACAGAGTCACTTGCACGTGGTGGAACATTGAATCTTGTGCCCCCCTCCTGTGGGGCCGGGCAGCCTGGCCCTGCATGGGTGCCACCTGTGGGGCTGGGGGCCGGGAGGCGCCCTGCAGCCCAGGGGAGCCCCTGCCCCTGGAAATGTTCCTTCTTTCAGTGTGACGTTCCTCTGTGGTTTCATTTGTGTGGGTTTTTTTTAAAGCTTGTCTCATTTGCCTTTTTCTTCTTCTCCAACCTCATGTTGATTACCTTCTGCTGTTTTAAATAAACAATCCCTGAACATCCGTGGTGGTGTCTCTGGGGCTTCAGATGCAAAGAGAGGGGAGTGTGGTCCCCTCTGCCTGGGGTGCAGCGTGATGGCTGTGCCCTGTCCCCTACCTGAGACAGAGGACCCCGTGCCGTGGGGCTGCGGCGAGGAAGAGGAGGAGGCTGCCAGCCTCCCTGCCTCCTCTTGCCTGGGAGAAGGGAAGCAGTCCTATTCCCTGGCCCTTGCTTATGACCCCAGGGAGGGGTGTTTTCCACACTGGTCCTGCCATCGGCACCTGCCCATCCCTTCCCCGTGCCCATCCCTTCACGCTGGCAGACGGGGCTCTGTGCCTCAGCCAATTTGCGAATGCCACAGGAAGATGGCTCTCCCTTCTCCTGTCTTGTTTTCCTGGTGCCCAAAGCCGCCTCCGCTCAGGAGACAGGCTGTTCTCAAATGTGAGAGGAAATTGCTAAGAAGATAATTGAGTAGCCAATTAATTAGCTAATGATTAATGTAAGCATCCTGCGGAGGCAGCCCTACAGCCACCCTGGCCGTGTGTTGCAGCGATGTGTCACTCCCGGTGCGGTGACAGCTTCTCAGTGCCCAGGTCTGAGCACCCACCAGGTCCCTATCCCTCTGCCCCACCGGGGCCATGCAGCCAGGGTGTTGGTGTGGCTGGTGACCCACTGGGGTGGCCAGTGACCTGCCAGGGTGGCTCATCACCTCCAGCCAGAAGCGGGGCAATGGGGCTGGGTGCCGGCACGGACGCACGCTGCCGGAGGTCCTCAAAGCACGTCTTTATTTCATTTGCGGGGCTGGTGCGCAGGCGGGAAGGGGTAGGAGGGTTGGGCTCAGCCTGGTTGCCACCGGGCCAGCTGCTGGCATCCTGCTGGGCAGGGTGCTAAAAGAGCAGGGAGAGGAGCAGGGCCAGTGCCAGCACCAGGGCTGCCGGGGGAAGCCGGGCTGTGCCAGCGCTGTTGGTGTACCCGTAGGAGGTCCTGCAGGAGCCCTCCAGCTCCTCGAAGGCGATGGGTGTCTCGTGGGCAGCTGTGCCTTGCAGGGTCATCTTCACCTGCGATGGGGGACAGGGTGGGATCCTGCAGCCAGGGGTAGTCCCCGTGCCCCATACAGCCCCCTGTCACCCTGCACATCCCCATGCCGCCATTCCCAAGCCCTGCATGTCCCCGTGCTCCCTTTTGTCCCCCTCCCCCATGTGTCACTGTGCCACCCCGTGTGCCCATACATCACTGAGTGCCATACATCCACCTCCCCATGCCTAGTGCACCCCATGCCTGGTGCTCCCTGCGCCCCACTCACCTCCTCCACCCTTCTGAAGACCCGGATCAGGTTTTCGGCCAGGGCTGCCCTCACCTCTGTCTCCGTCCAGTTCCTCGCCAGCAGCTCGGCCACCAGCGCCGGGTAGGTGGAGACGTCCTCCAGGCCGGTGGGGAGCCTGTGCCACCCCGCAGCTCACAGCTGTGCCAGGGGCAGCCGAACCCGGCAGCACCCACCTCCCACACCACCCAGCTGTCCACGTAGGACATGGGGGAGATCTGCCCCCCATGGCTGAGGACATGCCCTGCCCCACTGGCACAGCCTGTCCTGTGCCCATCACCCGCTTTACCTCGTGACACCATCATAGTCCCCACCAAAGCCGACGTACTCGGCACCGGCCACCTTCTTCACATAGTCCATGTGATCTGTAGACGCGGAGGGGATGGGGTGAGAAAGGTGGGGGGGGACACCGCCACTCTCCCCACCTGCCCAGGTGACCTCCTCACTTGCAACGTCAGCCAGCGTGGCTGTGTCCTTGCATGTCACGTAGTCGTTGTAGAAGTTGACCATCACCAGGCTCCCCGTGTTGGCCTGGGGGAGAAGCGGTCCTGAGCCCTGTGGACCTCCCAGCCAGCCCCCCTCCTTGCCCGTGGCCGTGCCCTGGTGCTCACCACCATCCTCAGCACGTCATCAGGCACGTTGCGGCGATTCTGGCAAAGGCCGAAGGCGGACGAGTGGCTGAAGATGACAGGGGCTTTGGAGATGTTCAGCACGACCTTCATGGTCTCCACTGAGACGTGGGCCAGGTCCACGATCATGCCCAGGCGGTTCATCTCCGCTAGCACCATCTGTGGGGTCGGGGATGGGGACAGGGCAGGTGAGGGGTGCGCAAGGGGTCATGGCAGCCCTGCATGGGGGGACACCATACACCCAGGGTACCCAGTGCTCAGCTTAACAACCCGGCATGGGGCTGGTGGGTGCTGGTATCATGTCCCCGGCCCCAGCCATTCCTCCCAGGCACCACCACCAACCCTGTCCCCACTCACCTTCCCGAAGGACGAGAGGCCACGGTGCTGGGGCTGTTCTTCCCCAGTGTCCACCAGCCAGTTGTCAGCCCTGCGGAGAGGGGAGAGCATCAGGGCGGGCCCCCAGCCACGTACCCCCTGCTTGGCCGCATGCCCTGTCCTCCCCCTGCCCCCATGCTGGCCATGTCACCCCATCCCTGTCCCCGTGCCCCCCGAGGGGCTGCTACCAGGGGGTGTTGCAGCTGTGGGTGAGGGTCATGTAGCGGACGCCCAGGCGGTAGAAGGTGCGCAGGACGCCCAGGCTGCTGTCGATGGAGTGGCCACCCTCCACCCCCATGAGGCTGGCCACCTTCTTCTCCTGGAAAGCCTGCCGGATGCCTGCGGGAGGGTGGGGGGCATCAGCCAGGGTGGGCACCAGGGGCACCCATGGCCCCTGGGACACCTGTATCCTGGCCCTGAGCCCGCTCACCGGCGCTGTCAACGACGCAGGAGAAGGTCTCGGGGTAGAGCTCACACATGCGCTGCACCACGTCGATCTGCTCCAGCGTGCGTTTCACCGCGTCCTTGTTCTGAGTGTCACAGGGCACGTACACCGACCAGAACTGCCCGTGATGGCACTTGGTGAGCACCAGGAGCCCGGTCCCATGCCCACTGCCACCCACCCCCAGTGCCCCCACCCGCCTCGCTGTCCCACCTGCCCGCCCACGTGCCCCTGGCGCAGTTTGGGGATGTTGGTGTGGGTGCTGTTCAGCGTCATGAGGTTGGCCTCCGGCAACCCCAGCTGGTTGTTGAATCTCTTGAGGAGCTGCCAGGGCAGGTCGTTGTGCCTGGGCAGGGGAGAGAGTGGGAATGAGGGGCTGTCTGCCCGCCTGCCCGTCTGTCCAGCCAGCCTCCTGGCTGCCCATCTCCCTGTCTGTCTGCCCACACATTCCCACTCATCTGTCCATCCTCCCATCTGTCCACCCATCATCCATCCACCCACCCACCAGCCCATCTGCCCACCCATCTGTGCTCTCTGCCAAGAGCCACCCAAGTGGCCAGGAGCCATGGACAGGTCACTCCCAGGGGACAGCCCCATGCGGGACCACCTTTGTCAGCTTGTGGGGAGGTGGGGGGAGGCTGGGTGACCCCTCTGTGCACCCCTCCACCCACCATCCCCACTCAGCCCTCACACCCCGGGGAGCCAGCCCAGCATCCCTCCGACGGGGACATCACTGCCACCGCTGTGGGGATGTCACCACCACGGGGACGTCACTACCACGCAATGTCCCACACCCAGCAGTATCACTGGGGAAGTGCTGGGGGCCAGACGCATGGGTCGGCTCCCACTTCTCCCCTCCTGCGTCATTGTCCCCACATCTTCCTGCTCCCCCCCCTGCCCTGTGCCCACTCCCAGTGGCTGCCCTGCGCCAGGCTCCTGTGGCACGGGGCTGGTGCCACCAGGGCAACCTGTGGAGAGCCTGCAGTGGCCTCCTGAGGATCCTGGGCATGAGACTGGGGATGTCCCTTAGGACATGACCCGTTTGCCCCAGGTGGGGACTTCCCTTGGGGCAGCCTGGCCCCTGGCTTCCCAGCACCCTGCCTGCTCCCAGCCAAGCTGCACCATCGGGGATCCCCCCGGCTGCACGGCCCTGGGGTGTCTGGCCTGGGGATCCCCCAGAAGATCTGTCCCTGCATATCCCTGGGGTATCCAGCATGGGGATCCCCCAGAAGATCTGTCCCCACGTATCCCTGGGGTATCCAGCATGGGGATCCCCCAGCAAGGGCTGTCCCTGATGGGGTTTTCTGGCCAGGGTTTTTCTCAGGGTGCTGAGAGCTCCAGCCCTGTGGGGGTGACCGGTCACACCACGGTGCCGGGCAACCTTTGCTCACCCATCGATGACCGGCGTGGTCGTCATGATGCGCTCGGCCTCCTCCCGGTGATTCTGCCCGGCGCAGGGGGGCAGCAGGCACAGTGCCAGCACCAGCACCACCACCATGCTCCTGCCTGGCATCTTCGCCTCCTCGGTGCCGCCGGGTGATGAGCCGGGGAGACCTGCTGCCACCGGGAGCCTGCTGAGCACGTGCACCGGGATGGCTGCCCTGGCTCACCGTCTGTCCCGTCTCCCAGTAAATAAATAACCAGGATCCACAGCCGTAACCCCACCCTGATCCCCAGCCCTGGCAGCGCCCGGGTACAGGGGGCATCATGGCAGCAGCCTCCCCGAGCCCGGCCCCGGGTGGCAGGGCTGTGCCGGGGCCTCTCTCTCCGCATAGTTGCGGTGACGCTCCCGGCCCCTCTAATGCAGCCCAGATTTTCTTTTGCTGGGAAAAAGTGCCGGTCCCCATCCCCGCCTTGGCCTCCCCGGCGCCGGCACCCACCGGCACCCCTAGCCCAGCGCTGGCACCGCCGTCACCCCCCCACCACCGACAGGCAGGACCCGGCACCCCCGTCCCTCGCTCACCCGGGACGCTGGGGCGGCTGCTGCCTGCGACGGCTCTGAATTATGTTTTCTGGCTTGCGTGCTGGCGGCGGAGCTGGGACAGACTCTGGCCACCCCAGATGGCGTCGGGCGCCGGCCGAGTGCCGCTGTACCCTGCGGCTCTGTGGCAAGGCCGTCCCGCCATGGAGGGGGCGGGGGGCGGCAGACGGGGGTGGTACGCCCCTCGTGTGGGGCTGCCCATGGCGTCCCCATGTGTGCCAGGCTCCCCCTGCCCTGCGGGGTCCTGCTGCGGCATCGTGTGAGGGGAAACTGAGGCACCCATCGGTCCTGTGGCCGAGCGCCTGCGGTGGGGGGAAGCCCGTCTGGGGGTTGGTGGTGGCCACGAGGGGCTGGTGGTGGCCGCGGTGTCGTGCGCAGCAAGAGGCACCATGGGGTTGCTGGGAATGGCACGGAGCCACATGGAGATGGCCAGCCCCACTCCTCGTCCCGGGGTGCACCGGGGCAGGAATCCCTTCCTCCGGAACGGTGGTGGCCATGGGAGACTCTGGCCATAGGGCAGGGTGCGGGGCTGATCACTGTCCCGCCCCAGGGGGGGTCCTGCAGCCCCCCTGCCCCACAGGCAGCGCTCTCCCGGCGATGGCCCCAGCTGGATCACCGATTCCCCAGCAGGAATGTGCCGGGGGAGCCCGGCCCCTTCGCGCCTGGACGGCTTCCTCTTTTCCAGCTATTTAAAGGCTGTTGCGGCGCGTCCCCTGCAGTGGCCGGGCCATGGAGCGGATGGGGGTGACCGAGACCTTTGCTGGCATCTCCCTGCCCGGCCACCTCCACACCCAGGAATCTCTCAACTTCGCCACCACCTTCCAATTCCGCCCCACCGATGTGGTCATCGCCACCTATCCCAAATCAGGTGAGGGCCAGCAGGGTTGGGGGGGAAGGTAGGGTGCCAGGGGGAGGGAAGGGGTGAGGAGGGTCCCAGAGGGATGGGGGGCACAGGGAGGGGACTCCTGTGGGTGGGCACTGGGGAGTCGGGGGGGCATGGGCGGGCTCTGCCCCGCAGCCCCCAGCTCTCCGGCGGGACTGGGAGCTGCCTGCGTGGCTGGGAGGTGGCCGGGCTCAGGGCCAGCAGCTTCCTGGGCAGGGCCACCCCCCAGTCCACACAGCCCAGCGGCCACTGGCCCCTCCGGGCACGGCACAGGGGACGCCAGCCCCAGCCATTGGCTACCACCCCACCCAAAATCCCTGCCCTGAGGGTGGGGGGCAACCTCTCCCACAGCCTCCCCTGCCCCATCCCGTCCCCAACCCCAGACTAGTGTGACTGGTGGTGGCTCTGGGGGGTCCCACACGGCGCTGCCAAACCAGCTGCTGCCCCGTGCCAAGCCATGCTGTGCCGAGCCATTCAATGCCATGCCTTGCCAATCTGTCCCACATGCCATGCTGTGCTGGACCATGCTGCACCGTGCTGTGCCATGGGGTACCGTGTCATGCTGTGCCATGCCATGCTCTGCCCTGATGTGCCCTGATGTGCCATATCATGCCATGCCATGCTCTGCCCTGATGTGCCATATCATGCTGTGCCATTCCATGCCATGCTCTGCCCTGATGTGCCATGCCATGCCATACTGTGCCATGCCATGCCGTGCCATGTCCCATGCTGTGCTACGCCCCATGCTGTGCCATGCCCCGTGCAGGGCTGGCACTGCCCTGACAGCCGCCTCCCCAGGCACCACCTGGATGCAGGAGATCCTGACGCTGATGTTCAGCCACGGGGACGTCGTGCCAGCCAAGACCATCCCCAACTGGGAGCGGGCGCCCTGGCTGGAGCAGATCTACTTCAGGGATGCGCTGCAGGATACGGCCGCCCGCCGGCTCATCACCACCCACCTGCCCGCCCGCGTCCTGGCCCCTGCCCTGCAGCAGAGCAAGGCCAAGGTGAGGGGGTGCCCGGGATAGTCCGGGGGGGGTCCCACAGGGGCATGTAGCGCCCACGGGGCTTCCCACAGCCGGGGTGATTGCCAGGGGCTTTCTAAGTGAGGTGGAGTGGAATCCCCCCTGGCTGTGGCACTGACACTGTCCCCCCTGCCAGGTGATCTACGTGGCCAGGAACCCCAAGGACGTTGTTGTCTCCTTCTACCACTTCCACCGCCTGGCCAAGTTCCTGCCAGACCCCGGCTCCTTTGACACCTTCCTCACACGGTTCCTCGAGGGCACGGGTAAGGGTTGGGGGTTCCTGGGGTGCCTGGGCTCAGCCACAAAGCCCCCCCTGTAACTCCCTGCCTCCCCCCAGTGCACTACGGCTCCTGGTTTGACCACGTCAAGGGCTGGTTGGGCCAGCGGCAACACCTGGACATCTTCTATGTCACCTACGAGGAGCTGCACCAGGTGAGACCCCACATGTCCCCATCCCTGTCTGTCCCCACCGGCTGCCCCGGGCTGACCGTCCCCTCCACCACAGGACCTGCGTGGCACTGCACAGCGGCTCGGTGCCTTCCTGGGCTGCCCGCTGGGACCGGAGACACTGAGAGCCTTGGAGGAGCACTGCAGCTTCGTCGCCATGAGGGACAACACCATGGCCAACTACTCCCTCATCCCTTCCGAAATCATGGACCACAGCCAGGGACGCTTCATGAGGAAAGGTATGAGGGGGCCAGGGGTTGCGGAGGCAGGGGGGGGATGCAGGGGGTGCCAGCTCCAGCTGCAGCTCCCCCTGTCACCCTGTCCCCTCCATCCCACAGGCGTGGTGGGGGACTGGCGCGACCACTTCTCCCCCCTGCAAAATGCCCTCTTCAACCGCCTCTACCAGGAGGAGATGGGTGACTCGGAGCTGCCCACGCGCTGGCCCATGGCCTGAGAAGGTTGCGGGGGGGGGTGTCAGTGGTGTTTGGCCCTTCCACTGCACAACACGACCACCCTGCTGCCCACCAAGCCCCGCTGAGTGTGGGGGGCACCACCCTGCATGGGGAGCCCCCAGCACCCCCATAACTTATACACCCCCATGCATCGCCCTGGGGGTGGGGGCTGCAGCGGAGCTGGGGGTCTGGGGTGTGTGTGTGGGGGGGGTGGGTTTGGCTACATGAGAACCCCCCCGCGGATGGGGGGGCTTTTCCTGCCACACATTGCAGCCATCCTGGTGGCCTTCCTTCCCCTGGGGCAAGGCCGCGTGGCCGTGACCCCCCCCAGTGCTTCCACCCAGCCTGCCCTGGAGAAATAAATATTTATTGCTGTTTCCAGCCAGGCAGCATGTTCCAGTGGGTGTGGGGTGGGACGGGATGTGCTGGCGGAGCCGGCGGCAGGAAGCGCTCGGCGTTATCAGGGGCCCCATCAGGGTAGGGACCCATCCCCGGGGACCTTATCTCAGGGTGTGGGGGCAATAGAGGGGTGGATGGAGCAGGGGGCCATGGCCGGTCACCAGGCCCCATGGTGGAGTGATGGCTTGTGGCACAGTGCTGGGGTTTGCTGGAGGAACACATGGCACAGAGCTGGCTCCTTCGCCACCACCCTCCCCCCCAAATGCGGGGTCCCCCTGCCCCAGTGCAGGCTCTGCAACCCCCTCCAGATACCTTCTCCCCCCACCCTGCCCCATTGCATGCCTCATGATGCTTTGGAGGGGCTGCAATGCCCTGACCAGCCTGGCTGGATGCTCCTCTGCTCATCTCCCCTCCTGGGGTGTTTGCACCCAGGGGATTGTGCCCATCACCCCTTATTCCCGACCCTCCCCCAGCATCCTGGGGTGCCCCAGGCAGGCAGCACCCTGAGCACCCCCCAGCCCCCTGTCCTGATGTGCTCCACGGAATTGCTTTATCAGACCACTCGGGAAGCGCAGGCACGGTCAATAATTAACCCTTGGGTTAACTAGATGGCACCTGCCAGGTCAGTGTGGCACAGAGCCGGGGCAGGGGCTTGGCCCCAGCATGGGAAGGGCCCCTTTCCAGGGGTTGACTGAGCAGGGGGTGGGTGGCAGGACCCTCCCCGGGGATGCTGGCACTGTGGCCCAGTGGCACTGGGACCCTGCCTGCCCTGTCGCTGCTCCCCAGCCCCGCTGCCCCTCCGGTGGGGGCAGCCCAACGTGGTGCCAATGGGCACCCCCAGCCCCATGGAGTCCCTCTGCACCCGCCATGGGGGCAGCCAGCCCACCCCATGGAGCCGTGGCAGACCCCTGCCCGCACCGAGGGCCGGCAGCATCCGCAGGCTCGTCAGGCGCTGGGTTTCTATGGCGACGTCTATTATCCTGCTTTACGGGGAGATGAATCAGGAGCTATAAATACGCGGGTTGATCGGGGCGGCGCGGGCAGCGCGCTCTGCCTGTGTACAGGGTGCCGGCAGCGCTGGTGGGGCACGGCAGTTCAGCATGGCTGTGCCGGTGGAGGGGTGAGCAGCTCCCAGCTGGCACAGCTGAAGGGACAGGGACAGGCTGGCACCCCTCTGCCAGCACCCAGGGTGACAGCCGCATTCTAGCCCCCGAGTCCAGCTGGGTGGCACCCTCATGGCAGGCTCTCGAGTGGCCCTACACCATGATGGTTGCCCCAAGTCCCATTTTCAGTCCTTGTGGTGGCCTTGGGTCACACCCCACCCTGGTAGGTGTCACCTCTCCAGGAGCATCTGCCGGCACCGGGATGGTGAGACACAGAGCACGGCACAGTGTGGATGACACATGGCACAGGGCACGTGGCACGGTGTCACGTGGTGGGAGGCAGCTGGCACACAATGAGCGGCATCCGGCTCTCGGCGCAGCAAACAGCGCACGGCACTTGATGTGCCACACACGGCAGAGCGTGGCACAGCGCCCAGTGTGTGGTACACGGCACATGGCACAGCATGGCACACGGCATGTGGCATGGGGCACATAGCTCATGGCCCAGAACATGGCACACGGCATGTGGCACATAGCTCGTGGCCCAGAACATGGCACATGGCATGTGGCACACGACATGTGGGCACATAGCACATGGCAATGCCCGTGGTGCACGACACACAGCAGAGGGCACATGGGGTGACATATGGCGTAACATGGAGCACACATCATGAAGCACATGGCTCGTGGTGCTTGGCACAGGGCACACAGCACATGGAACACGGAACACAGTGCATGACAGTGGCACACAGCATGTGGCACACAGCACATGGAACGTGGAACACAGTGTATGACATGACAGTACGTGGAACATGGAACACAGTGTATGACAGTACGTGGCACATGGAACACGGAACATAGTGCATGACACGGGGCACACAGCACATGGAACACGGAACATAGTGCATGACGTGACAGCACGTGGCACATGGAACATGGAACACAGTGCATGACACATGACATACAGCACATGGCACACAGCATGTGGTACGTGGTACACAGAAGAGCACATGGCACACGGCACATGGCACACAGTGCATGGCATGTGCAGCACACAACACACAGAGCAGCATGTGTTACACAGTGCATGGCATGCAACCCACAGTTCATGGCGCAGCACGTGTCGCACAGTGCATGGCACGTGGCACACACAAGCGGCACGTGTCAGGCAGCAGAGGCGATGTGCTGGGCAGGGGCCGGCGCTGCCTCCACTCCCGCTCCCGTGGCCTGGATTTCGGGGCCGTGGCGCAGCGGGGCCGGCGGCTGCTCCAGCACAACTTGAAAGCGGCGGCTGTTCAAAAGTACGGCAGCTCCAAAGCGCCAGTGCTGCCCTCCCTGCTGCCAGTCCCCTGTGGCAGCCGGGGCTGGTGGGTGCATTTGGCTGGCTCTGGCCACTGGCTGGGGCTGGGTGGCACGGTGAGGGGCACGAGGGGGGGCCGGGCAGCACCCCACGAGGTGCCGGTCCCTCTGCCTGCACCCCACTGAACACCCAGCAGGGAGGTTTGGTGTCGGCGCCCAGAGAGCACATGGCACGGGCGCCGGGGTGTGGGGGGGTGGGATTCATCATGCAGCCTCCAAACGATGTCACAGCGACAGACAAGCAGGGACCAAGGACACCACGGGGACAGCAGGGATGGAGTGGAAACGGGCTGTGGAGCACGGACCATTGGGACTGGGCAATGCCCACCGGGGACCCCCGGCCCCCCCGGCAGCACAGGGGTGCTGTCCTGCACTGGGGCACCAAGACTGTCCCCGTGTCCCTGTCCAGGTGCCAGTGGGGGCACGCTGCTGGCACCTGTGTCCCCCCCGGCTCGGTGAGGAGGGGTCTGCAGCAGGGCTGGGACCCAGAGGGGACCTCATCCATCCCCACACCAGGGGAGAGGGGGAGCCCTCACTGGGGCGAGCTAAGGTTGGAGTCGGGGGTCTCAGGCTGGGGGCAGCGGGGAGGGAAAGCCTTGTAGCTGTAGTACTCCACCACCTGCTTGGGCACCTCCGCCAGCACGCACTTCGCCAGGGCTGTCGGTGACGCCTGTGGGACAGGGGACACCGGGGGACACCGGGGTGGATGGGTGAGTTGGGGCACGGTGGTACCCGCCTGCCCTGGTGTGGAGAGCAGCACCCATGGGACACCGGCATGCTTGGTCCTGCCGTGAGGACAGGAGGGGACAGGAGGGATGAGGAGGGATGAGGAGGGGACAGGGGGACCATTGATGCCCCACTCACATTCTTGAATTCCCGGAAGGGGACAAACTGGACGATGTCACGGAGGACGGGCTCGCCCTTGGGGGAGCGCAGGATGCCGTCGTCCCCGTCCAGGATCTGCATGTCAGTGAAGTCGGCGTTGCCCACCCCGACGATGATGATGGACATGGGCAGGTAGGAGGCGCGGACGATGGCCTCCCGTGTGTCCGCCATGTCCGTCACCACCCCGTCCGTCAGGATCAGCAGGATGAAGTATTGCTGGGGGGAGGAGGGATGCTCTGGGGGGGCTGCCCGGCCCCATGTTGAAAGAGCCAGACCAAGGGCTTGCCTCCAGCATGGGAGCAGCCACAAGTGGCACGAGTGTGCTGGGTCTCAGCCCAGCCTGCAGCCCGCCAGCCAGGGCAGTGTGTACCTACCGAAGCCTCCTTTGTCCTCTCCTCATCAGCCGCCACACGAGCCACCTTGGAGATGATGGGGGCCACGTTGGTGGGGCCGTAGAGCTGGATTTTGGGCAGACAGCTCTGGTAGGACTCCACAACGCCCTGGATGCCTGCGGGGGATGTGAGAGGTGAGGGGGGCAGCACCAGGCTCTGGCACAGGGGGTGACATGGGACCAGCGTCCCCAGCCCCGCCAGAGCTGGACTCACCCTCACACTCATCGTTGTCGGGGTTGAAGTTGATGGCAAAATCATGGGAAACCTGGAGGGTGAGAGGGGAAGGGGCAGCTGGTGCCCACCCACCTGCCATGGCCCCCAGCACCTGACGAGCCCCATGGGAGCCACGGCCATGGGGCCTGGAGAGATGAGAGCACCCCTGGGGTCCTACAGCACCCCCTTACCTCATACTTGGGGGGGATCCTTGCACCAAAGCCCAAAGCTGAGAATTTCTTATCGCTGCAAGGGAAGAGGTGTGAGGAGCCCCAGCCCTGGCAGTGCCATCACTGGGGTGTCCTGGTCCCGGGGTGGTCATCACTGGGAAGCCCTGGCCCTGAGGGACCTGGGCTTGGAACTGACCTGTCGTAGTCCTGGCAGATCTCACCCACCGCCACCAGTGCCTTGAGGTACTCGTTGGGCTGGTAGGGGTTGATGTAGTGCAGGGAGCAGCTGTTCCGGGGGTCCCCGTTGGAGGCTGTGAAGTCGATGGCCACCTGGCAGGGGTGGTGGTGGTGAGAGTCCCCCAGGACGAGTGGAGCCACCAGCATGTCCCCACTGGGGTTGGGTGGCTCTACCAGCCCCACTCACCAGCATCATGGCACAGCCACGGCTCGGGGGAACCAGGATGTGCTGCCCACAGACCCCCACACTGGGGACGGACAAGTGGCCCAGTGCCAGACCCCCTGCCCAGTCCCTTCTGCTTCTGGGTGGGGGGACACTGCTCACCGTGAAGTGGATCTGGCAGCCGCCCATGATGTAGTCCAGGAAGGAGTAGACCCTGTGGATCTGCCATAAGGGACCCGTGTCAGCCGGTCCTGCCCCCCACATCACCCCACGGCAGCTGGGCACGTGGCACGGCTCGGCACGGCACGCTTTGGTGGCTCACCTTCAGGTCCAGCAGCACCACGACCCCCGAGTTCTTGTAGTTCCGCTTCTTGATTTTGTACTTGGGGTTCATGCAGTCCCACTGCACCTGCAACACACACCACCTGCGCTGCCTGCGGCCCCCCAGCCCCGGGGGCACGGCCCATGCACTGTCCCCCCCCTCCCCATGGCCCTGAAGCCCCACAGCCCCATAACCCCACATCCCCATAACCCTGCCTCCCTGCAGCCCCATAATGCTCCAGCCCCATGGCCCCGCAACCCTGGAGCCCCACAACCCTGGAGCCCCACAACCCTGGAGCCCCATAACCCCACCGCCCCAGGGTGCAGCCACCTTCTTCACACCCAGCCAGCCCATGGGCTCCATCCAGCCTGGCCAGGGCTGATTGCCCCAGAGGAGCCCAGACCCACCATCCCTACCCCAAAGAGGGGGACAGAGAGGGGAGGACATCCCCAAAACCAGAGGAGGAGCTGGAAGGTGCCTCCTGGAATGGGATCTGCTACCAGCATGGAGGGTTGACCCCACAGTCTGTCCCCACATCCCTGTACCCACCTTGTTCTCCCCCATCGCCTTCTGCATCTCCTCGAAGGTGGTGAAGAACTCTCCGATGAAGTCGTGTTTGCCCCGTGAGTCGTAGTCCCACACCACGCACTGCAGGGGGGCATGGCTCAGCCCCAGCCGGGCAGCACCCAGGCGGGGGAACCGCACACCTACACCCCCCAAACTGCACCCAGACCCCGCACCATCCCCACCACCATCCCTGGTGGCTTGGGGTCCCCCTGCGCACCACCCATGTGGGGCTGCGGGGAAGCCATGGGACACAAGCCACCAGGGCAGGGAGGGGGTTCCCCATCACCCTTCCTCACCCTCAGCTTCCTCTTCTCCTCGCAGCTGCAGAGTGAGTTGAGGGACACCTTGAAGGGCTCCCAGATGGGGCTCAGGTTGTTCTTCACCACCTGTAGGGTGAGGGGCTCAGCAGGGACGGGCAGCCACCGGGGTGGCCATGGCCATGGGCTGGCTGATGGACCGATCCTGCCCGGTGCCTCACCTCGGTGCGGTACACCAGCTGCTCGCTGCGGTCGTCATCGATGCGGTAGATCTCCAGAAAGGGGTCTGACTTGCTGAAGAGATCCTGGAGGAGGGAGGATGAGGAAGAGCACTGTCTGCCCTGCCCACCCTGCCTGCACAGCCCTCCCTGGATCTCCTGCCCATGGGACCTGGCTCACCTTGTCATCCAGCTTCTTGGCCCGGAAGGCGAGCTCCACGTAGCCGTTGTTCCCCGAGATCTCCTCCGAGATGACCTGCAAGGAGAGGTAGCCATGGGGTGCTCAGCACCCAGCATGGCTTTGTCCCCATGCCCTCCCTGGCATGGTGGGGAACCCTCAGTGTGGCCAGCAGACATCAACAGGGACCTTAAGCCCTCCCCCCTCCGAGAGCCTTGGGGGCAGCTGGATGATAGGACAGAAGGAGGGTCATTGGGGACTCCCCCTGTATCCAGGCTCACTACCCCAGACTCCAGCTCAGTGCCACCCCAGTGCCACACACGTCCCAGCTCGATGCCATACCCCAGTCTGGTGCCACCCACATGCCCCACTCAGTGCCACCGCACTACCTCAGCCAGGTACCACCCGTGTGCCCCAGCTTGGTGTCACCACAGTGCCTCAGCTCAGTGCCACCCACATGCCCCGGTGCTGCTCCCAGTGGAGGTTTGGCCACTCACCGTGATGGTGGACTTGCCCGCAAACTTCCCGTACTTGAGGAACAGCGGCTTTGTCACCCGCTTCTGTGCCACGATCTGCAAAAGCCGAGGGGTTGGGGTGGGGAGGCCACCAACAGGCATTCCCGGGATGGGGGTCACAGGCTCACCTGCCCCACAGTGCACTCCATGCCCCCCAGGAAGTCATCATCATGCGTGCCCACACCGGCGTGCCCATGGCTGTCATAGACCTCGAACCGCAGCTTCTGCACCTCCTCGAAGTAGTAGTCCACCGTGAAGATCTTGGCAAAGACGGGGTTGAGGTTGCTCTTGATGACCTCGCTGCGGTCCACCTGCATGGCAGGAGCTTGGCTGGGGGTGGGGGCAGTGGGGCCAGAGCCTGGCTTGGGGATGGATCCAGGGCCAGCAGAGCTGCCCAGGACCTTGGGATGCCAGAGTTTGCCAGGAGTCGGGCATGGGGACACGGGAACACTGGGACACAGGAACATGGACGTGGGGATGCAGGAATGGGGACATCAGGCAGCTGCTGGGAAGGACCAGCCCTGCTCAAGCATTTACCTGCCTGTGTTGGTTCCCAGGAGAAAGGCATCTGGAGGCAGCCCCGGTGCTGGCTTGGGCAGGGAGATGTGCCCACGAAGGTGCCAGCCCCACATCCCAGGGCACAGCTCCCTCCAGAGCTCCAGGCAAACGCCATGGTCACTTGGAGGGGATGCTCGGGCTCTGGACCACAGTTTGCCATGGCTCCACTCAAGTTGGAGCAACGGGCTGATGCCCAGGACAAACCCCTGCGAGCCCACCCTGGGCTGGCCAAGGGGCAAGGGCCAACAGCCACCATAGCCCCAGCAGGCAGATGGGTGCTCAACATCTCCTGGCCGTGCTGGCAGCGGGTGCTGAGCAGCTTCCAGGAGCCTCCCCCGCATCCCATCCCTGCCAGCGTTGACTCAACGGGACGCATCCTGGCCAGGGCACTCTGCCAGCCCACCAGCCCCTGCCCACCGCCCGCCCGGTCCGGCAGCATCTGGTCACCCCATGCAGCTCTGTGCCTCCTGCGTGGGCACCACCAGCCCCACCACAGGGTCCTAGCCACCTCAGTCCCTCGGGTGCCAGCCCTGCCAGCATGTCCGGGGCTGTTTTGGCTCTTGAACCCAGAGGGCAACGTCTGAGCCAGCTCCAGCCACTGTCCTGGCAGGGGGACATGTGGTGGTAGGGACAGGGAGGGGACAGCTCATGGAATCCCTTGGAAAGGTGGCCCAGGAGGGGCTTGTCTTTTGGATCTAGCCCTTGCACAGCACGGCACGGAATCCCTTGGAAAGGTGGCCCAGGAGGGGCTTGTCTCTTGGATCTAGCCCTTGCACAGCACGGCACGGCACAGCACAGCATGGCATGTCATGGCACGCAGAGTGTGGCACAGTAAGGTGCAGTGGCTCAACATGGCACATCCCGCAGCTGGCACGGGGCCCCTCGCTGCCCGCCCTGGCTCCGGCTCTGGCTCCGGCGAGCAGAGTCGATTACACGCAGAGGGATTTAGCGCTAAATCTGCCGGCTGAGCAGCGGTGATTAGAGAGCACAGAGCTGCCGGCGCCAGCCCAGAGCTAAGCCATAGGGGACTGATGGGAAGGAGCCGTGCCAGCCCCAGCGCCAGCCCCGATGCAGATGCCAGCCCCAGCGCCAGTCCCAGTACCAGCTTCCAGTGGCCACACCAGCCCCAGCAACAGCCCCAATGCTGATGCCAGCCCCAGCGCCTGCACCAGTCCCAGCACCAGCCCTGGTGCCAGCACCAGTGCCAGCCGTGGCTTGTGTGGGCACCAGGGCCCCACAGGGCAGCACAGTGAGGGACATGTGGCCACAGTGCTGGCCCTGACCCCTCTCTGAGCTCCTCCCCTGTGCATGGAGGGGTAGGTGATGCCACCCAGCTGTCCCAGCCCAGGCTGCCTGCCCCAAGCAGGGTGAGACCAACCCAGAAGCTCTGATCCACCTCAGGTGTGGCCAAGGCATCCCTTGGCCCTGGCATGGGGCAGCAGAGCCATGTTGGAGCCATGCACTGCGGCCACCCCATTCCCTGGCCCTACCAGAGCCCCTGGGGACTCGCTCTGACCCCACATGCTGCCAAGTGTCCCACAGCACCCTGCCCCATGAGCCTTGTGCAGCACCCTCTGTGTGCACCCTGCACCCCAACTCTGCACTGTCTTCTGTACCCTGTTCTCCTGCACCCTGCACCCCAACTCTGCACTGTGTTCTGCACCGTGTTCTGCCCCTTGCACCCCAACTCTGCACCTTACACCTTGCTCTCCTGCCTTTCCTGCACTTTACACCCCATTCAGCACCATCTCCCCTGCTCTCCACCTTCTCCTGCACCTTGCACCCTACACCCCATTCTGCACCATAACTTGCACCCTGTTCTCCACCCTCTCCTGCACCTTGCACCCCACCCTGCACCTTCTACCCTGCTCTCCACCCTCTCCTGCACCTTGCACCCTGCTCCCCACTCTGCACCATCACTTGCACCCTCTTGTCCACCCTCTCCTGCACCTCGCACCCTGCTCTGCACCTTTTTACCCTGCTCTCCGCCCACTCCTGCACCTCGCACCCTGCTCTGCACCTCACTTTGTACCATCTCCTGCACTCTGCTCTGCACCTTCTGCCCTGCTCTCCACCCTCTCCTGCACCTTGCACCCTGCTCTGCACCTTTTAACCCTGCTTTCCACCTTCTCCTGCACCTCACACCCTGCACCCCACTCTGCACCATCACTTGCACCCTCTTCTCCACCTTCTCCTGCACCTTTCACCCCACCCTGCACCCTGTAAACCCCACTCTGCACCACCTCCCACACCCTGCACCTCTCCGCAGAGGCTCCCACCCTATCTCCAGCCCCATGGGCACCGTAGCCACCCTAGGGCTGTCTCCACTCCTGTCCCCACCCCAGGGATGCAAACCCTGCGCCCAGCACCCCGCACCCAGTCCCCCCCTGATGGTCTCCCCCCCGGCCTGCCCCGCTGCGGTGGGTGCCTCCCACCCTCCTACCTCCATCCACTGGCCCTGGGACTGCATCAGCAGCAGGACGCAGGGGTCCGACTTGTTGAGCGTGTCGCGGTCCAGGAGGTGCTTACAGCTCACCCGCAGCTCCACCTTGGAGACGGCGGCCAGCGGGGCCTGGGGTGACAGCTCGGTCGCATCGCCCATGGTGGCCGTGGCACGGTGGGCAGCCGGGCGTGGCGGGGGGCAGGCAGCCCCGTGGGCAAATGGCATGTGGGGTGAGCGGGGCGGCGAGGGTGGCCACTGCCTTCGTCGGTGTCAGGGTGCTGGGCAAGCACCCGTCATGCCCGGGGCACGCTGCCCTGCGGTGCCAGGCGTGGGGACGAAGCCCAGGTGTAGGTCCCTGGTGGTAGCAGGTGTTGGTGGGATGCTCCAGTCGGTGTAGGAGACCCTGGAGACCCTCTCCGAGGTTGGGTGGCCAGTTCCAGTCCCGTTGGTTCTGTAGGACCCTGAAAAGCATCAAAGCACAGTGAGGTGAGCCGGAGCCAGGTCACTCCTTGTGACACTGATTGTGTACCCCGAAGTGCCGGCCAGCCCCACAGTCACAATGCTCTGCCCCTGTCCACCCACCAGCCCCCCAGGCCACCCAGGGGGTCCCGCAGGGCTGTGCCCAGTTCTGCCCCAGTCCCACCTTCAGGGGCAGGATGCATCCGTGGGGAAGGGGTACCCGAGTGGGGCTGGGATGCTTTGCAGGTGCCCCTCCTGGTGCCAGGGAGCAGAAACTCCCCTCCCGTCCCCACGGGCAGCGCACCCCCTGCCCGGGCAGGGCTGGCCAGCGAGGGCAGTGGGGATGCTGGGTCCTCATCTGTGCCACCGGGTGATGCTGGCAGTGCCAGCCACGTCCTGCTGCCCCAGGCAGGGCTGGTGGCACCCCAGGGCAGCAGGGGGGCTTCCACCATGCTGGGGACAGTGGCCACCCTCCACCTGGATGCTAGTGACACTCAGCCAAGCAATGCTGCAGTGATGGGTCACCGAGGGTCTCTGCCAACCCCAGCCCCAGCACAGGACTTGACACCCCGAGCCACAGCCCCCGAGGGCTGCCCGACTCTGGCAGGGGCAGGGGCAAGAGCAGGGCAGCCATCCTGCCCTCCTGCTGCACCTCGGCCTGCCCAAAGTTTCCTGGTGAAGTCACTCCAGCCCTCCCCGGCACGTGGCTCTGGTGCCCCAGCTCCGGCAGGCACCGTCCCCCTCCCTGGGATGGCGAGCACCCCCATGGCATCCCCCGCTGGAGGGGACACCGGCTCCCACCCTGCCCCGGCCACCCCTTCTCACCTGGGTGCCGGTGGCCTGGGCTCCGCACACAGCGGGGCCGAGGGCTGGGGTCGGCGTGCCAAGCGGAGCCGGTGGTGTGCCAGCCGGAGCCGGTGTGCCAGCCGGAGCTGCCGCCGCTGCCACCTCCACACAACTGACTCAAGCTGCAGTTCGGGAGCGGAGCCCTAAGAGGGAGACGACAAGCTCCGTTAACTGCCTCGCTGCCGGCACCAGAGCAGAGCCCACCGGCGGGCACCGGGGCTTGGTGGGGTCCCCAAGCGCTGCTGGCCATGCCAGGGCAGGTGCTCCCGCTCCAAACAATCCCCCCCATAGCACTGCCCTCTCTCCCAGCACCCCATACCCCATTAACCCCTCCCCGTGGGGTGCTCGAGGCCTGTCCTGGTCCTGCTTCCCCACACAAGGATGGGGCGCCCCAAAAAGCTGCTGGGTGCCCACCCCGTGTGTCGGAGCACCCAGACCCACACGAAACCCCAGGTACCCCGTCCCCCGGCCAGGGGGGATGCCCCAGCACCCCCCTCCCACCCACGCACATCACCCCAACAGCTGCCAGCCCAGCTTTATGAGAGGTGATGTCATTAGCCCATATTTGGAGGGATTAAAATGCAGATAGGGCTAATGAGCGGGAGGGCACCGCAGGGCCCTGGGCTTTGGGAGCTAATCCCCAGCCCGGGTGGCAGAAATAGGCCACCATCCTTCCCCTCTCCTCCTGCAGCCCCACAGCACAGCCCTGTGGGGCAGGAGGCCGCCGACCCACGGCGGGACGCAGCCCCACAACTGGGCAGCCCTTTCCCCTGCCTTTGAGGAACCTGAGGTCCATCCATCCATGCCAGGGCTCCAGCCACCGGAGCGCTTCATGGCATCCCGTCCCCAAGTTTCTGTCACCCGACTGCTGATGAATACAAACGACCCAATTATCCGCACGGGCCGTCGGCAGCGCGGCCAGGCTGCAGAACGGCCCCACAACTGATGATCCAGCAAAGGGGCTCGGTTGAGCGCGCCCCAGAGGACAGACCCTGCCCCATGCTGTGCCCCGTGACCCATCAGCCCCACATCACCCCCCTGCCCTGGGGTGGGCAGAGCCCAGGAACACCCCCAACAGCCTAGAGCCCCCATGTCCTTCTCCTGCCACAGAGAGAGCTGCAGCCCTGCTACGGAGTGGGTCACAGCCCCACAAGCACTGTGGGTCCCCAAGGTGAGGCTCATGGGGCAAGGGGTTGCCCACAGCACACTGAGCACCCACGGGTGACACCCACTAGAGCCCCCATGTCCTTCTCCTGCCACAGACAGAGATGCAGCCCTGCTATGGAGTGGGTCACAGCCCCACAACCACTATGGGTCCCCAAGGTGAGGCTTATGGGACAAGGGGTTGCCCACAGCACACTGAGCACCCACGGGTGACACCCACTCATGACACCCCGCCTTGCACAGCAGAGCCAGCTGCAGAGGTGTGGAAATCATGAAATCTGAAATAACGGCAGAGGGGAGAGCCGGGTGGGAAGGAGACAAAGCCTGTCAGGGAGGGGGTATCCCAAAAAAAACCCCTCAACTGTCAGCTTCAGCAGCCCCCACCACAGTGAGAGGGGGTGGGCTCCATCACGGGAGGGATCCCAGGCTGCGTCCCCCCTGGAGACAGAGCAGAGACTTCCCTGCACAAGGCCGAGGTGTTCCTTTCACTCGCTTTCAGGGAAGTTTGGGGGGTCTCTAACCACAGCAAACAAGGTTTCCCCACATCTCAACCATGACAGCCCCCCACAGCGTGTCCCTCCACGCAGAGCAGCCACGATCTGCACCAGCAGCACGTCATCTGCCGGCTCCTGCGACACACCCCAGCAGGGCAGCCCAGCCAATTGCCCTAAAAAGACAGCACACTCCTATTTCTCCACTTTTTTTTTTTTTTTATTATTGACAGTTCTCGGGAGAACAGTTCATTTCTTCTTCTCCACATCCTGCTCCGCCGCTTCTTTGGCGCGTTTCGCACGAATCCCAAAGAGACGAGCGTTGGCCCGGGCCATGCGCAGGCTGGCGAAGGCCTTGAAGTTCTTCTCGTCTTCCGAGATAACACGGGCCTTCTCCCGTTTGAAAACCTGGGGGGGGAGAGAGCGCCAGACAGTCAGGCTGCACATCAGAGGCTCCCAGAGAAGACCCTATTTTTAAGGCTGAAGGCAATTAATCTCGCTCCGTTTTTACCACCAGCTCCGGGGATGCCGTGAAGAACAGAGCGTTTATGCCATCTACAGGCCCTGCCCTTATCGTCACTCCACCAGGCACCTCGTTTCAACTGGTTCCTCATTTGCCAGCGCGTCAGCACGAGGCCGGGACATACCAGGGAAAAAAAACCCAGCGCAACAGGAGCTCTGAGTCAGGTTTGTGGTGTGGTTTCGGAAGCAGCGAGGGTTTCGAAACAAAGGGTGACTATGTGACCTGCCCGGGCCACCAGCACACAGCCCTCACCCCACCCGGCAACCCCAGGCACCCCAAACCTCACTTGGGGATGAGCACCCTCAAAGGTCCAAGTGGACAAGCCACCCTGGGGCCTGGGGCTGGAGGACACAGCGCTGAGCACAAACACGTGGAGATGCTTCACACCTTAAGCTGTGTCCTCACTGGAATTGTGTGATTTGGGGGGGGAATCATTGTGCTGGTCAGCCCACCCTGTGGCCTCCTCTGGGGAGCAAAGGCAGCTGTGTGTCCCCCACGTGTCATTTAGGGCAGAAGCTGAACACATATGGTTATTCCCAACCAGAAGCCCTGACACAGGTGGCTGGAGCTCTCCTCTGGACCCAGGAGCAGGTCATTATGTAAGGACTTCCTCAAATGGCTACAAATTCAGCAGAGCTGCAAGTAATTAGTTCTTTGCAGCAAGGAACCAAATGGATCATGGCAAAAGACAAAGACGAGCTCGACCTGTTCCTGGTTTTGTTTGATCCAGGATGGGAACTGTGTGGAGACAGCAACCCTGAGCTACAGAACAGAGAGAAGAAAATCCTCTCCATGGAGTTTAAGACTCAGTTACGTCACCCAGAGAACGTGATTTCTTTACACTTACATTCTTGATGGGCATAACCGGTCCAGTCAGCTGAGTCGCCATCTTGAGTTCCTCAGCCTGCATAACAAGAGAACAAAAAACATTCTTTAAAAAAAAAGCCAAACAACCCAGTATTTACAATTTCTCAGGCTGGTACCTTGGTTAAAAGCACACCCTGTATGCAGGTACCCAGCTTAAACATGCCATTAACAATTCTGACTGGAGAATTTAACACGAGCTCAGCATTTCAGCCAGAGGAGTCTCTGGCCCAGACGTGCCGCATCGACAACCCCCGTTCTGCCCCGTGATCCATCAGCCCCGACCTGCCCGCAGCAGCCACGGCCGTTTGGGAGTTCTGCCAGTTGGAAAAATGTTGACATCCAACTGTGCCATTTTTAGTTCGATACCCAGCATATTCCTCAGCAACTCCTTCTAAAGATGATTCCAGCTTCTTCAAAGAGTATGGCATTGCGCAGAAAATGGTTAAGTTTTATTTTAGATAATTGATTTCAAGTAAACAAACTTGAAAGAGTATTCCAGGTACAGGTATCTATCCCCATGGGTACAGGAGCTTGAGACCTTTCCTTCCCTGTTCTGAAAAGCAGCTTGAATACAGTGGGCTCCACTATAGTTAAGGAGCTGGGAGCCAACAGACTCTCCAGAAGATTGAGGACAGCTTCACCTCACCACCCCGCTTCATGACTCGCACGGCCCCACGGGAAGCACAGGCAGAGCCAAGGAAAGCAAACTGCACTCTAGAACTCAGTGAGATTTTAATGAAAAGCATTTTTGTATGTCAACAGCAACAACCTCCTCAAGACTGCCTTACGCACAGCTTTCACCAAACTGCTCCACTCAAGAGTTTGTCCTTGCCCCCCTCACCCTCTCCACGCAGCTGTCTCACCGCAGCAGCACACACACTCTCCAGACTGGCTTTTCAGCCATTCCCACAATTCTGCTTCATAAACTCGAATTCAATCGGCCAGCCAACAACCAAAGCTTCAGCAAACAAACCATCTGCCTGAGCTGCACCCTTTCAGCAGCCTCCAGGCCAAAACTCTGCCCAAAGCCTCACTGCCAACCAGGAGATACCCATGGAAGGTGACTCTACCAGGCCCAGCCTTATGCTGGGCTCAGTCATCCCCTATGTATGTGCACGAGAGCCCCTGAGAGAAGGGCTGCTCCCCACTAGGGGGGTGGGTTACGTCATGAGAAGTGTTGGAAAGCACTGCCTGACTGCACAGGGACGGACTGATGACCAAACCTCTGAAAATGTTACCAGACACAGACCCTGTGAGACATTTCTAGAAGCCAAGCACTTACAGAGCTGTCTCCCTTCTTGGGCATCGCCGGCTTCCTCGGGAAGAGGATGAGCTTGGAGCGGTACTCCTTCAGCCTCTGCACGTTGGCTTGCAGGGACTCGGTAGATTTGTTGCGTCGCCGGGGATCCACGGAGATTCCAATAGTCCGGGCAAACTTTTTGTTAATGCCAGCGAGCTGAGGAGAGAGCACAGAGCGTCAGCACCCAGCAGCTCCCAACGTCACCGCGCTACTGCTGGGGACCACACCGGTCACCAGCCAAGGGCTCCATCCAGCACAGCCACCACAGGCTGCAGAGTCTGGAGAAAAGCTCTGCATCCAACCAAACAGCCCATTGGCAGCACCAGGATCGGGCAAGAGGGACCAGCCACACCACAAAGGGCGTCCTGGTGTCTGCATTTTAATGCTCAAAACCTTCCACAGGCCTTACAGTAATTTTCGCAGATGTATTTCCCCCAGAGAGCAAAGCACAACGCCAAGTAATTATGAGTAGGACATTTAAACCCCGATACACACGAGACAGGAATTTATGAAGTCAGCAGGCGGTTCACTCTGGTTCACTGAATACGGGAAACTCCATTAAAGAACCATTTTTTGTAATCATCTTAAACAAGAAATAACCTCATTTTCTGTTTAAAGACAAACATCTGTGTACCATTTTGTATTATATCATTATCCAAAAATTAAAGAAAAATGAAGTAATGAAGCATTTGGCAGCCACAAGAACAATTTTACTGCTTCAATACACTAATTTCACTGTTATAAATGTTTTAATTAGATACTAAACAACGCACAAGAGGCG